TGAGAAGTCTGCTTGGCGCATTTTTAAATGTATCTATTATTTTTAGCATAACTTTTTTTCTCTGAATTTGGGTATTTTTATAGATGTCTTCTTTATAATTTGAATAACCTATTTTATAGCTTCTGGAGCAATGTCGGTGGAACAAGTGGAACAAGTGGAATTATAAATCTCTTCTAGACTCTGTCTTTCACTACATTCACTAGGAAGTAAATTTTCCCTAAAAAGAACTATAAAATATTTACAACATAATCATTCTATAAGTATAATTCATTTCATTACTAAGAAAAAAGAAACACTTTGGAGTAGTTTATATTTTCATAAAATGTTTTCTTTCCAGAAAGCACTGAGATTTATTTTACTTTGTCTAGGAGAATACAATATAGCATTTATTTTTTAAATTTAATCTCCAAGTTTATAATGTATGAAAAATTTGTATTAGGTATTGTATTACATAATATTATTATAACTTACTTGAAGACGGACCAAGTTGAGAAGTGAATAAAATAGGAATTGCTTCCAGATTTAAATTCGTCTTTTCCGGCAGAATTCATAACAAAATAATATAAAATGTTTCCAATATATTTTATATTTCCAATTTATGTTAATTTTTACAACTTCAACCTTCTCTAATTCTGGGATTTGAATACAAATTTCCATTGCTTCAGTTTGTAAGAAACCTGCGTAAAAAAATACTAATAATATTTTACAATATAGGTGTACCGCCCATGTGTTTTATTTACTTACCTTTGAAACGACGTGGAACTTCTCCAAATTTGTTTTAGGGCAAACAAACATTGAATAATAATTTTTAGACTAACAACTAACAAAATTCGTTAAAAAAACATTCTAGACACTCTAAAAACTTTAAAAATATGCCCTGGGAATATAAAATCACAAAAAATGTACAAACAAAACTGACAGTTCCCAAATGCTTGTTGACAGTTGTGAGTAATTGGCGCTGGTATTTAAAATAGACGAATCACATTAAGACCAGGAAAAAAGAGAAAGTAACAGATAAAACGGTTCATATTAGCTTCAAACACATCCAGACCGTTACTTATCTATTATTCATTTGTTTATCTGAGGTTATTAGAAAAGGCCACTGTTGTCAAAAGTTTAAAGTTTTAATGATTAGAGGATGTCGATTCTTCTTTCAATTAAAAACATTAAATGTGTGCTTTTTATAAATAATAAGAGTGAATAGATTTATATCGAATGCAAAGTGACCAGAAAATTATACTTCCATATTCAACTGCTAATGTTGCTTTCTAATAAATAATGGGTTTCTGTGTGGAATATCCAAATTTTGAAATAAATAAGGACGTTCAAATAATAGAAGTATATTTTTCATGAACAAGAACTAAATGATATGAAGCCGTAAAATATTTTTTGGAATTGTTATATATTATTTATACTGAATTCAATTAAAAATAAGTTTTGTTATTTTCTTCATATTTATCAATTACCTATTATATTACCGTTAAGTCTTTTAAAAAAGTTTATTTATGGTAAAACATTGACAGTTTACTGTATAGGTATTCTACCATCATAAGCAAAACTTCAGTATTTACGCAAACTATAGAATGGAGATATTTGCAATAAAAGAAATTATTAGTGCCAGCATTTTCATTGGTGGTACCAATATAGCTGCATTTGTTGAATCAAAGACAATTTTTGGATAATGCTTTGAACTAGCTAAAAATTGATTTAATTTGTTCTTTGTGTTGGCTCGTGTTTTAAAAGGTTTTTGCTACAAAAGTGTTAGTTATGGTGTAGAATAAAGTTGACTTTTTAGGACATAGAATAAATATTACATTTTGCTTACTTTTTAAGAAAAAAAAGCTTTAGTATCAAAATGGTCAAATAATATCAAATATTTGTAATTTGTCAGTTACGGAGGTTAGGCTTATGACGGCAGTATAGTCCAAGCATTTACTTTTATTTACAACCATATATGTAATGTTGTCATTACTAACGTTATTAAAGGTTGGAAAGTGTCACATTACACACCTCTACTTCCCACCCTCACTTCCCGCCCTCATTTTATCTATTCTAGATGAATATTTTTCATATTTAAAAAAAAAATAACACATTTTTTTGACAAATTTTATAATACCTATTTAATGGCAAACAATAAAAAACAACAATGAACTAAAATATAACAAATTACTTATTGATATTTATTATTCGCGAATTTAATAACCGGCTTTATCTAACATTTATTTATATTGGTGACAGTTGTTTACCCTGTAATCACAGCAACAATATATTTACCTACTTGATTATTCTAAGAAAACCGCGCGCTTGGTAATTTGTCGTTAAATGTAATATTTTAGGTATGTTCAGAACAAAACAGAGATTTATTAACTTTGATCGAAATATGATGGTTGTAAATAAAATAGTATACAAACCTCGGTAGGAAGTTTCATTCCTGTCTCGAGATCATAGCTAACCTCGACGCTTCGCGTCTCGGTGATCTAATTAATCTCACGACAGGAATGAAACTCTTCCCACCTCGGTGTGTAATATACTAATGTGGACTTGCATAGATTTCGCAAAACTGCCAGATTTAAAAAAAAAAAAACACTTAAATGATTTTGATATTTTAAAGGAATTGTTTTTTAAATACATCTATTAGCTTTTGTCAAATACATATTAATAATAAAAACATATATGAACATAATATATAAAACAGAAGTTTAATAAATTAAGTTTTTGTACGTATTGTAGGTAACTTATTTAAAAAGAATACAATAAATAACAGGCAAGTTTTATTATAATCATTTAAGTAATTAATAACATTTATATATGGAATGACAATACAATTCAAATTTTCAATCATTTTTCGGCAGGGTCAGTTAAAGAACCTTTTAGATGGTATATTTATGAAGCACATCTTGTTTTATTGTCAAATTTTTATCCATAATTTTGAAATGGATAAAATTTTCTGCATCTGCTTCCACCTAAAAAATAATGCAAACTAATTAGGTAGTACCCTCAGAATCAATGTTAAGTAAAAAGGTAGGTACACCTATATTGATCTACCAGCTGATCAACTAGGTGAACTAGGTAAGTTTTATCAATTTATATCACATTTGAAACAAAACAAAAAATACAAGATTATCTTTACTTACATCAAAATACAAAAGCACGATGGTGGTTTGTAGTTTGCAACAGCCCTTATCCCACTATCGTTTGCTGAAATTCTAGGTCTAGATTTTGAGGAACTTTTATAAACATTTTATCAGATTAACTGTTTTTTTTTACTTCTCATAGGGACCAAGTACTCAAGTACTTGATAAGATATTTTTAATGTTACCCAAAATTAAACAAATGTTTATTTTATCACACTTTTTAAAAGCAATTTCAATGATTTCTTTCCAACAATCGATTTGAGGTTAGAAATTTTGACATTTTTGTATCATGAGAAATGAAAAAATAATTTTAATCCGATCTTAGAAAGAGATAACTATCATAAATGTCACTATAGAAAAAGATAACGATCAACTGTCTGGTGTTACGATATCACAGATACTTTAGTGACCAATAGAAATAGGCGCTTCATTATGACGCGGTTAATGGTGCAAAAATGGAGCGTTTTAAATAATCGGCCCGTTCACTTTCATTTTTGAATGTGAATTAATTATATATTTATAAAGATATTAAACTCTTTTGTCTGGTGGTACTTTTCCCGTTAAGATATTTTTGCTAGAAGTAAGGGAATTCCCATAAAATTCTTTCAGTGACTCATTGCGTCAGAAAATCCCTAATTCCGTTCACGTCTCGTATCGGTTATGCTTAAAGACGGCGAGGTTGCCGGAAGTATCCCTAATATAGCATTTCTACATTTATATATGTAATTTAAATAGTAAAATTCCATTATTTTTCTAAAAATCATGAACTTCTATTTTTAGATTTAAAGCTTATTTTTTACTTTTTAATTAAAACAATTATTATTACTCAGGCTGAAAATTAACCAGACCATAATCAAAAAGTAGAAATTTGATTTGCAATATTTATCTGGTAAACGTGGCAACGTTGCATTTATTTCTAGAAGTGTGTGTAGACAACACTATTTAGAAGTACTTACAACGTTGTCACGTTTACCAGATACATTTTCTCAAATAAAATTTCGATCTGCTAATATTCAGCTTGAGTAATACTAATTGTTTTTATTAAAATTTAAAAAAGGTAAGGCTTCCAGCTTTATCTGAAAATATAAACCCATTATTTTTAAAAAATAATATATTTTTATCATGTATTTCTTTAATAAATGCAGAAGAGAAATGGTGGTGCAATGATACATCCGACAACCGCGCCCTTTTAACTATTAACCGATACAAGACCTGAAGGGAATTAGGGATTTTCTGACGCAATGAGTCACTGAAAGAATTTTATGGGAATTCCCTTACTTCTAGCAAAAAATATCTTAACGGGAAAAGTTCCACCAGACAAAAGAATTTAATATCTTTATAAATATATAAATAATTCACATTCAAAAATGAAAGTGAACGGGCCCATTGATTTAAAAGTAAACTTTTTAAAGTACCTACTATAACTTTATTATTTATTATCTATTTAAAGAATTTATTGCATGAAAAAAAAAAGTTTTTTTGTGCTTAAAACACGTAATAGTATTAGATTCGTTAAATTCGTTTACACTAAACACGCCCATTATAAACAAATTTATTTATTGATATCTGGATGGGCTATTCACAATAATACAGTTTTGCATAAATATTTGGTTAGGAAAAAGCTCGGGTAAAAAGAAAATTCAACACGGTTTTTACTATTTTTTTGTCAGATTGAAACCTCTTTTTAATTAACGCATGAAAAAATGCTTACTATTTAAACAACGCCACCTAGTTTGAACAACTGAATCAAAACTATTTTAAAATATTTTAAATAATCGATTTTCTTAGTTACAAAATTTGATAAATTACACCGAGGTTATAATTTTTTAATGTATTTTTATCTATTGTTTAAAATAATTATAAATAAATTATTGATTTCTTTATTGAAATTGTTTTATAGGTGTACATTTTCGGTAAATATTAAAATCTCTTAAAAATAAATATAAAAAATAAATAAAATATTAAAAAACCTTTTTAAGCATTTAAAAATCAATTTATACTAATTTATTTTACAATACTGAATAAATTAAACACTTGTAATACTCAATTTAAATCTATATAGGTATAAGATAATAAATAAAATGTTTTTTCTTTATCGTTCTAAAGATGATTTACTGATAACCTTCTTGAACAAATGTAGCCGTAGTCGCTCTTCTTTTGTCGTACAATAAATCCCCACCCAAGTTCCAACCAAACCTCTGATTCAAATAAATGCAAGTCTTCCTGTAACCATTTCTTACCTCGTTACGTACCTTAAAAAATATTTTTTATTTAGACAATTAAAATATTAAAAATAAAAGTTTCAACAAAAGGGCTTCAAAAAGCCTAAAACAGTTAAAAAATGGTTAAGTTTAAAAAGCAAAAAATAGCTTAAAAGTAAAAAAATCCTAAAAAAGCTTAAAAAAGCTTAAAAAAGCTTAAAAAAGCTTAAAAAAGCTTAAAAAAGCTTAAAAAAGCTTAAAAAAGCTTAAAAAAGCTTAAAAAAGCTTAAAAAAGCTTAAAAAAGCTTAAAAAAGCTTAAAAAAAGCTTTAAAAAGCTTAAAAAAAAAGCTTAAAAAAAAAGCTTAAATAAGCTTAAAAAAAAAGCTTAAAAAAAGCTTAAAAAAGCTTAAAAAAGCTTAAAAAAGCTTAAAAAAGCTTAAAAAAGCTTAAAAAAGCTTAAAAAAGCTTAAAAAAGCTTAAAAAAGCTTAAAAAAGCTTAAAAAAGCTTAAAAAAGCTTAAAAAAGCTTAAAAAAGCTTAAAAAAAGCTTAAAAAAGCTTAAAAAAGCTTAAAAAGGTTTAAAAAGCTTAAAAAAGCTTAAAAAGATTTAAAAAGCCTAAAAAGGCTTTAAAAAAGCTTAAAAAAGCTTAAAAAAGCTTAAAAAAGCTTAAAAAAGCTTAAAAAAAGCTTAAAAAAGCTTAAAAAAGATTAAAAAAGCTTAAAAAAGCTTAAAAAAGCTTAAAAAAGCTTAAAAAAAGCTTAAAAAAGCTTAAAAAAGCTTAAAAAAGCTTAAAAAAGCTTAAAAAAAGCTCAATAAAGCTTAAAAAAGCTTAATAAAGCTTAAAAAAGCTTAAAAAAGCTTAAAAAAGCTTAAAAAGCTTAAAAAAGCTTAAAAAAGCTTAAAAAAGCTTAAAAAAGCTTAAAAAAAGCTTAAAAAAAGCTTAAAAAAAGCTTAAAAAAGCTTAAAAAAGCTTAAAAAGCTTAAAAAGCTTAAAAAGCTTAAAAAGCTTAAAAAGCTTAAAAGGCTTAAAAAGCTTAAAAAGCTTAAAAAGCTTAAAAAGCTTAAAAAGCTTAAAAAGCTTAAAAAGCTTAAAAAGCTTAAAAAGCTTAAAAAGCTTAAAAAGCTTAAAAAGCTTAAAAAGCTTAAAAAGCTTAAAAAGCTTAAAAAGCTTAAAAAGCTTAAAAAGCTTAAAAAGCTTAAAAAGCTTAAAAAGCTTAAAAAGCTTAAAAAGCTTAAAAAGCTTAAAAAGCTTAAAAAGCTTAAAAAGCTTAAAAAGCTTAAAAAGCTTAAAAAGCTTAAAAAGCTTAAAAAGCTTAAAAAGCTTAAAAAGCTTAAAAAGCTTAAAAAGCTTAAAAAGCTTAAAAAGCTTAAAAAGCTTAAAAAGCTTAAAAAGCTTAAAAAGCTTAAAAAGCTTAAAAAGCTTAAAAAGCTTAAAAAGCTTAAAAAGCTTAAAAAGCTTGAAAAGCTTAAAAAGCTTAAAAAGCTTAAAAAGCTTAAAAAGCTTAAAAAGCTTGAAAAGCTTAAAAAGCTTAAAAAGCTTAAAAAGCTTAAAAAGCTTAAAAAGCTTAAAAAGCTTAAAAAGCTTAAAAAGCTTAAAAAGCTTAAAAAGCTTAAAAAGCTTAAAAAGCTTAAAAAGCTTAAAAAGCTTAAAAAGCTTAAAAAGCTTAAAAAGCTTAAAAAGCTTAAAAAGCTTAAAAAGCTTAAAAAGCTTAAAAAGCTTAAAAAGCTTAAAAAGCTTAAAAAGCTTAAAAAGCTTAAAAAGCTTAAAAAGCTTAAAAAGCTTAAAAAGCTTAAAAAGCTTAAAAAGCTTTAAAAGCTTAAAAAGCTTAAAAAGCTTAAAAAGCTTAAAAAGCTTAAAAAGCTTTAAAAGCTTAAAAAGCTTAAAAAGCTTAAAAAGCTTAAAAAGCTTAAAAAGCTTAAAAAGCTTAAAAAGCTTAAAAAGCTTAAAAAGCTTAAAAAGCTTAAAAAGCTTAAAAAGCTTAAAAAGCTTAAAAAGCTTAAAAAGCTTAAAAAGCTTAAAAAGCTTAAAAAGCTTAAAAAGCTTAAAAAGCTTAAAAAGCTTAAAAAGCTTAAAAAGCTTAAAAAGCTTAAAAAGCTTAAAAAGCTTAAAAAGCTTAAAAAGCTTAAAAAGCTTAAAAAGCTTAAAAAGCTTAAAAAGCTTAAAAAGCTTAAAAAGCTTAAAAAGCTTAAAAAGCTTAAAAAGCTTAAAAAGCTTAAAAAGCTTAAAAAGCTTAAAAAGCTTAAAAAGCTTAAAAAGCTTAAAAAGCTTAAAAAGCTTAAAAAGCTTAAAAAGCTTAAAAAGCTTAAAAAGCTTAAAAAGCTTAAAAAGCTTAAAAAGCTTAAAAAGCTTAAAAAGCTTAAAAAGCTTAAAAAGCTTAAAAAGCTTAAAAAGCTTAAAAAGCTTAAAAAGCTTAAAAAGCTTAAAAAGCTTAAAAAGCTTAAAAAGCTTAAAAAGCTTAAAAAGCTTAAAAAGCTTAAAAAGCTTAAAAAGCTTAAAAAGCTTAAAAAGCTTAAAAAGCTTAAAAAGCTTAAAAAGCTTAAAAAGCTTAAAAAGCTTAAAAAGCTTAAAAAGCTTAAAAAGCTTAAAAAGCTTAAAAAGCTTAAAAAGCTAAAAAAGCTTAAAAAGCTTAAAAAGCTTAAAAAGCTTAAAAAGCTTAAAAAGCTTAAAAAGCTTAAAAAGCTTAAAAAGCTTAAAAAGCTTAAAAAGCTTAAAAAGCTTACTAACGAAAATAATAAACTTACCTCGTTATTTGCATAACAAAATAGTATAGAGACGACGATGCCCTGTAGACCTTCCATGGAGTACCTTGCGTAATTATAAACATCTTCAGCCTTGCAAGAATTGTCATAGACAATTTTTTTTGGCTGTTATCATTATGTGAAGTCCAAAGAGCGGTATCAGGAAGATGGTAGCCCTGAAAGCTGCCCTAAAAAAAAATAACATGGCTGAGATAGTGAAAGGACCCCGCACTTTTTACATTGATTTTGGGTACTGACAGAATTGGTTAAAATTTTAGTATTACTTTTCAGGTCATAATGGGCAACTTTCTTATGGACATCAACTTTGCAGCTCTACAGGGTGAGCTGTCAAAATGAGTCAAAAGTAAGATGTGCAGAATTAATATTTTCATATATATCTTTACCACTATTAAATAATTCATGGTTTTTTTATGAAACATGGCATGAGTTACATTTGTATATGGCTTGTTAATACTTAAACTTTGTAAAATAAATCATACTTAGAGTATTCAAAAAAGAGGAATATTAATTACTGAAATAAGGTGCATTTTCATGTATTACCATAACTAGAACATGACTTCTGATCACTAATTTGTTATATAAATTACTGAATACTATTTATTTATAATACAGGGTGTGCCAGAAAGACAAATAATATTTAATACAAAAGTATTACAGTTTCTTTACATAGATTTTTAGACTTCCACTAAATTATAAATCCATATAAAAGGAACTACATTTCTAAAAACATGTTTTATTAAATATATTAACTATTTACACCCCTTCAAAATCTTACTCATTTTTCAACAGCATCTAAAATAGTTATTAATAAAACATTTATAGCGTAGTTTATATAATTTTCGAATGTGCGTATTCCAGGTACCTACCTCAAAATACTTGAAATATGAGCACACATCCATATAGTTCTTGAACCAGTCTTACATGTAGGTACAGTAATATCTAGTAATGGAGATTCTCCTGAATTTTTTTTGGACTCTATAAATAAAGTGTGCTTCGCAAATATTAAATATATTGCAAAAAAAACGAAGTCACGCCACATAGAAAGTTTTCTAACAAAAATAAAATATCCACTATCAAAAAATTCCTAATAACAAACTTTTGAAATTGTTCTTAATGATAGCCCAAAAAAGAAGGAGAAAAAATACAGTGTAATAGAATTGCTACGTTTAAATATCCATATCCGATTTCTTACCTGTCGTTTATCTACATCAAACGCATCTAATTTACGTACCTTGAATCACGTGATCATAGATTGACATTACTCAGATGCATCCTATATGAATAAACAAACGCAGCAAATGTAGTCTGAAATTGCAAAGATAGCAACGTGTTAACCCTATCATGATAATTTAGCTGTTATTTAATGTAACACTCGCCAACCTTTTATCTTGTAATTATTCTGATTAATAAACAAGGAAATACAAATAAGTTATATAGGCTTAAAAATAATTTAAAGCAAGATAAAAGTATATAGTGGTGTGGAATAGACAAACAATAAGAATTGGTCAGGATTAAATATCATGAGTATTCATATCACGAAGTTTTTAAATAAATTACTACTGAAAAAACTGTAAAAGTTTTTTTTCTGTTTTAATTTAACTAAAATTAACCTACTAAATTCTCAAAAATAGAATATATTTACAAGTGATAAGCTGACATCTTTACTGTAATTAAAAATATACTTAGAATATGTCTTCTAAGTCATTCATTCAAGTCAGAGTTAGTAGAATTATTTCTACGTTTAAATAGTTTAATTTAGTTTAAGTAGTAAAACGGGACTTGCTTAGATAAACAGAGCTTTGATTATAATACGAGGAAAACAAAATTCGATTCAAGACTTTCTACAATATTTTAGGTATACCAATTTTTCGTTTAATTCTTAGTTATTTATGTAGTTCTATCACATCGTGTATTACTTATAAAAATTATCTGATATGAAATGAAACAAAAAAACAGAAGTCATATTCTATTGTGAAATGCACCATATTTCAGAAACTGATATTCTTAATTTTTTGAACACGCTGTATAATTTATTTTGCCAAGTGAAAGTAAGCATAAACAAACTATATACAAGTGTAATACATGACATAAATTTCATGGAAAAAACAAGAATTACTAAAGAGTGGTAGATATATATTTGAAAATATTAATTCTGCACTCTTTACTTTTGAATCCTTCTAACAGCTCACCCTGTAGAGCTGCCTACTTTAGGTCCATAAGAAACTTTCCCCTAATGACCTGAAAAATAACATATTAAAATTTGAACAAATTCTGTCAGTACCCAAAATCAATGTAAAAGTGCGGGGTCCTTTCTTTGATTTGTGAAGTTTAGATAGTTAATAAAATTATACAAAAATTACAGGAATGGCAACAAACATTTTTATCAATAAAAATTTTAATCAAACAACGACATTGCAAATATATAATAATAACCAAGAACTACGGCATGGCGCTAACTTTCCAATGTGAACTACCTTGGATTTACTTCCCACTGCCCTCGGTGCTTTGGATTGCACATCCGTACTGGGTCGCCTCTCTCAAAATGTGTTTCTGTGGTGCGCCTGTCAATTATAGCTTCTGCTTTATCGCTATCAACTTTCAAACGTTCCTGAGCGAATCCGTAGACCTTTGTCCTGCCATTGTATATATCACATTTTTTACACCAATCCAGAACATCCCGTAGGCAATGGACCCAATAAAATCTTTCCCGAACCCATGCCAGTGATCTTTTAATACCAAAATTTCCTCCCGAACGGCTGCTATGAAGCTCTTTCAACACACTTCTTACATGTGATTTCGGCAGTACCACTTGCGGGGGGCTACATCAGGGTTCTCCCCCTTTCGGTGCAATGGGCCATCATGAAAATACAGGGAATCCCACTGAGTCCAGTACCCTTTAATAGCTCCACTGTATTTGGCTATCTCTTTCCAAGTAGGTGTTGACTTTATTTTTGAGCCATTCTCGGATAACTTTCAAGTCATTGTCTTTCTTCTGTCCCTTTCTCAGGCTTGTAAGGGTAATTTCTTTTTCGTCCCTCTTTGGTTGGATAGTGGTTGCCCGAAGAGTAACTTTATCAAGTGAATTCCTCCCGTTCTCCGAGCCCCTTACTGTACCGCCATTCTCCTTCTAAACAGGGTCGCCTGGAGAGAGAGTCTGCATTGCTATAGAGACGGCCTCTATGATGCTCTACTTCCTGATTATTGACAGAAAGCCGGCTCAGTGTTGGTGATTGTCTTCTTTGGGACGCATAACTGCTGTGACTATTTCTTGTTAGAGTTCGTGACGGGCTTCGGAAGACGGATTTATGTGACTTTCCAACCTCATTTTCTGATTCTCGATTTATAGACCAAACCGTGTTTCTACAGGTTTTTTGAAGGTTCTTCCACAATTAAAGCATCTTCTGCTTTCATCTTGGTTGGTACGCTGGATATTTTGCAAAATATTTAAGATTTGCGAGAGAGTAGGTCGGGGGATAGCAATAATTAGTATTGGCCTCTTCACTTTCCTCGGATTTAGTTTCTTTCACTCTTGCGTGAGAAGACCTGGGTAGGAGTTTTACCGCTTCATATTCCTGGGCTGCAATCAGTGTTTTGTGATGTTGTGGACAAAGGGTTTGCTTCATTTCCACATCTTGTAGTTTCATCAATGAATGCCTGTAATCCAATTTGTTTTTGTAAATTTTTGGGCGCCTGTGGATAAGCCAGATAAATCAATCTTCTTATGTTGACCTCGATTCCTGTAGACTCTCATTATATTTCTGACTACGAACCTTTAGCTGGCTTTGACATACCCTTGTCTCCAAAGCTTGGATGAAAGATGAATAACTGGGTTATTCTTGGGGAAGTAACTGTAAAATGGTTGCTGCCTGTCCTCGAAACGACACTATCAATGAAGCCGCCATCTCTTTCCCGGTCCAGCCATTGGCGCTGGCTGCAGCTTCAAATTGGAGTCAATACGTTTCCCATGTTGTCTAACCGTCAAATGTGGGAGGTTTAATGGTCTTGCTAGTATAGCATTGTGAAACTGGGTTTTGGATATGGCTTGGTTCGGCTTGCAGTTTCTCTGTTGCTAGCCAAAACGAGGCTACGAATTCTTTCTAATTCAACTGGTTCAGTTCTAATTTACCTTTATAACTCTAGTCCAGCCGTTTCTTGTTGTTTTAAATTAATTTTTAAATTCTGTTGTTGTTGTTGTTGTTGTTGTTGTTGTTGTTCTTGTTGTTGTTGATGTTGTTGTTGTTGTTGTTGTTGTTGTTGTTGTTGTGCTAAGAGATCTACTCGACCGTTCAGTTGATCTACCTCTTGCTTAAGGTTTTCTTGAATTTCCAGCAAGCCATTTATAATCTCCACCTCCGCTTTTCTATGCCCCTCTTCCTTCTCCTCTTTTCGCCTTTCCCTCTTCTCTTTTTCTTTCTTCCTACGCCTTTTCTTTTCCTCCTCTTTTTTCTTCCTACGCCCTTATTTTTCCTCTTCTCGCCTTACTCTCTCTTCCTTTTCTTCCTTCCTACGCCTTTCCTTTTCCTCTTCTCGCCTTACTCCCTTCTCTTCAATCTTCAAAAACCATGCTGGTGGGTCCATAGTACCCATGCCTGCTTCATACTCAGTGGATCTAGTATTTACTATGAACTTCTACTTTGTTCCCACCTCACCGGTCATCAGTGTTATGCAGGTTTTTGGTATCTAAATTTATTTCAACTCAACTTTTACAATACCAAAACAACTGATAAATTAACGTATAACGTCTCTATCATAAAACTGAAAACTGATGTCAGGATTATCGGCTTATACAGGGTGTACCAATAAAAACTCCCAGGCCGGATATTTTGGTAAGTAATAGAGATATTTTAATTCTGTAAAACTCAGTTTATAGAGCGCTAAGAAAGCTTCAGTTTTAGATATAAATTAATTTTAAATAGGTCAATATGTAGATGGCGCTGCGCTCAATTTTTTTTTTTCGATGGGTGGATCTTTTTTATATAGCGCATCTTGTAAAAATGCATTTTTAAGCAGATTTTGTTCTATAAACTAATTCGATAAATCTAGCCATTTTTGGGTCACTCAAAACAGTTTCATCCTATTTTTCAGCATTAATCATTGGATTTTTAAAAAATGCTAAAACAGATCGATTTTTATTCCAAATTAAACACATTTTTACAATATATACATC